TGCCTCGATGGGGAGGGATTGCATTGAATTAAAGCAGCGGGAGCAAACGCTTGCCTCGGGGAGGGAGAAAAAGAGCCACAGAGGAGAATAAACAGAAGGGTAACCATGGCAACCATGCGCGGGAAGTCTTCTTCGCTGCTTTTGTGGCAGACTACAGCGCCACTTACAGGCCTGGCATATGTACTACAGCGTCTCCAGCGCTTTCGAGCGGCAATGGCCGGCCGTGGCCCAACCCCACATTCCCCTGATAGGTGGAGAGTTGGCCCAATAGCCGTAGCGCCACCGTCCTGACGTCAGTAACGTGTTCAAATCTGGATCAGTTTTTATCAGATCCGTTGCAGCCCCGTTTTTAGAGATTTGGGTATGGAGGAAAATAGAGAGGGTTGTGTTTTCTGACACTTGGTGAGTTCCCTGGAACACCGGGGACACATATTCATGTATAAAAGACGTACAAAAGTGCATTTTGCATGATAGGTCCCCTTTAATAAGCACCCTAACTTTCATGATATAATTTCTCGGTCATAATCGGTTGTTTCCGTGAACGGCCGACTGTTGTGTGACGGCAAATGCTGCGGCTGCAAGGCATTGTGGGGCAGCATTTTCTCCTCTCCTTTCGTAAAGGGAGGTCCAGTGGTTCCTAAGCTAAAGGAGGTTATAAAGGAAGTTTGAAACCTCCTTTCCTATCATCTAGAGAATTCGAACGGCACTTATCATGGCTGCCACTGAGGGACTTCCGGGTCATTTCACTCCGTTAGGAAGGTTCCTAAGCTAAATGGACTATTCGACTTCAGCCCTGGAATGAAACACAAAAGGTGAGTACCAAAATAAAACAGGAAGTGGGAGACCAGACAAAACATGACAAAAAAAAACATGAAACATGACTGAACTCAACACTTTTGACGGGACACAACAGAGAGCTTCGTTTGAATATCATACACTGAAGTTTTATTGGAATTATCGGCCGGAGAATTGACAAACTAAATAGCTGGGACCCAGTAGATACAGCATCTAACCAAACCTGTCCCTGCCACTCCTAATAGCAACATTAGAAAAATCAACATTATGCTAAGATGCTGTAAGTCCTGTACCTGGCAAGCTCAACTTGTCCTTTTATTGTCTGAAGAAGAGGTTGTTTTATGGTCATGTCGAAGACACAGCTGTTGAAGCCCAAGCCTGCCTTATCATACTGGTAGTAACAACTCTCTCCAGGCCCTTTGCCTGCCAAAGAGAGAGTGAGAGGAGAGGTGAAAGCTAAGATGCTTAAAAGTCAAACTAAGGGTCATATGAATAATTCCCTATCAGCAGCAGAGTGCATGAAAAAAGTGGGCTGATAGGAAATGTAGCTTCATTCAAATGCATGAATCCATCATAAATACACATTTTTCTAAATATTTTCTACATGTTTTTTGTTTGTTCGAGGTTTGACTTGCAATTTTGGAATAAATCATCAAAAGAAAATTCACATTTTCTGGTGATTCTGTTAAATATGCACTACATTTGGATGGAAATCTAGCTCTGGGGATCTGTAAATTGGCTACAAATCTTCCTATACATTGTCCTCAATGCCAGCCCTTAAAAAAAACAAATGTAACTTTGCACATGTTGCTCTCTTGTGGAGTCCCCACAGATTTAACTAATATTGCAACACAAAATCATTTGTAGTCTGATGGCAGCTTCAAAGCATGATTACCCAAGTGTTGCAGTCCTCCTGGTAACAATCACAAATACTCAGCAAACACACCCTCCCCTTCCTTCTTCCACCTTGCTTACACTCTTGGTACTTAGCATGTGTATGAGTGTGTGTGTGTGAGTGCACCTCAGTGGTTACACCTTGTGATGGTGCGCTCCCCTGGGTCTTTGATTGTAAATGAGCTGAACCCTGATGGGGGGGTGGTGAGCCCATCAGCTGCTCTCCTCTTCTCTCCTCTCCTCTCTAGCTCCCTCTCGGTTATAAACAGTGAAGTCATACCTTCCTAGGGGCCTGTTTTTCTGCCATGATGTCACCATCAGCCAATCAACACGTAGTGTGGCTTGAGCTAGTGTGTGTGTGTGAGGAGGTGGGGGAGTGAGGGGGGGCTCACCACTGGGAAAAGCACAGTTATTATCTGGTTCTGTCGTCAAGCATGAGAGCAAGTATGAACATCAGATCACGAATCCACAGGCTTCCTCTGATACACAGCCTCTCAATGATGTAATATACTCCATACCTGTTACATTAGAGTGCTAGTAACCAGCATATGGTGGATAAGGTGTATTCACATTTCACACATATTCTATCTTGTGCATTGTATTTCCTCTGCTCGTGAAACAGCCTAGTAGGGTAATAGGGTCATTACATTACTGATGCTTTTAACCTAAGCGACTTACAATACATATACATATGTAATGTCCCTTTCACACCAACGCGGTTCCAGGGCCGGTTCGGAGCTGGAGCTTGAAAAGCACCGGTTTTTCCTGTTCACACCGCAGCGGAGCCGCCTCTAAGCTCCGGAATCCGGTTAGTTTCAAGCACCAAAAAGTTGTCGGTCTAGAAAGCAAGCACCGCATACGTCACGCTTACGTCGGAGGCGGGGGCAGGGGCAGGGGCGGGATCAACCTCTAACAACAACAAAAAGCCTAACCCTGTGTAATGTTGTTTTTATAGGCAATCATTTAAGCTTTGTTAGTTCCAGGTTTAATATGTGCAATAAGTTCATTTCAATACGTTTTGCAATAAACATTGAACCAGTCCGGCCCTCGACTAGTACCGATTTTTTTGTTTTGGCCCACTGTGTAACTGTGTAAGAACTTTTGAATGTAGCATGTAACGACTGTAAAGTTGGTAGTAAAGTCGTCCCATTTCTTCCATTTCGTTTCGACAGAGCAAAACCAAAACGAGTAGCGCTTCAATATAATCGGCCATTGTTGTTGTTGTCGATGTGAGGGGTTTCCGCGCGGTTTGGCTTTATGAAGCAGGCACGCAAACGGTTACGTCATGACGCAAACGATGACGCAATGACGCAGCACCAGTCGGGCTCTGAGCAGTGTGAACAGAGCGGGAGCTGAACCGAAGAACCGGTTCCGAACCAGAAAAGCTCTAGCACGGAGCTAGAACGGGAAAAGCCTTGGTGTGAAAGGGGCATAAGTGCAATGAACCAGGAACCAATAATTTAGAGAAGCCTTAGTCTTCTCTACCCACCTCTAGCTATAGTTATTTTGGTCAGTCTAAGATTTTTTTTTTACCCACTCATACTCATGCTATACTTTGCTACAGAATATACCACACTACGAATAATACGCCCATGTCTAAGTCATTTGCAGATGTTACAGAGACAGTCCTGTTGGGTTCTTGTGCACAATGCCTTACACTGTTTACTAGTAATTAGAGGAAATGCTGGCCATCATCTGTGTGCAGGAGTAATTAGCTGCCTGTCTTCCTTACAGCCACAGAGGGACGTGCATTGAGTACATGTGATTAGCTCAATCGCGAAAATGCTACCATGCCGGGTTTCCACTTATAAAGCCAGGCTACATTGTAATTAGCCTGTGGCTTCACAGACACACTACTGAGCTAACAGAGTGAATCCTTTTTGTAAAAAAGTTAAAGGTCCAACTATTATTGGACATCAGGTCATCATTACTGTCACATTCCTATTTTATGTTTTTGTCAGCCCACATTCTGTCAAACGAATTAGATGACTATGTGGAGATAAATCCATTCATGTGTCTGCAGGTGCCGTTAATCTTTCTCTCCCCAGCCCCTTGTCCTTGGCTCTGTATTGGACCTGTCACTGGTCCTGAGTGATGGAACACGTATCTGAGCACATGTTTGTGTTATCGCTCTCATCCTGCGTTAATCTCATGCTTTTACAAACACCCTCATGCTATTTTTCCTTGTAATCTTAGCCATCTAGTGTGCACGGTGGCATTTCTCTTGAAACTAATGGAATCTGTTAACCACTCCTACCTTGTTTACCTTCAATCGACTGATGTCTTGATAGCCTGAGGAAGTGAGAAATAGACTGTCAACACTGGCTCAAACAAGAATGAAGCTTGAGGGGAACATGTGCTTACACCCCCCTGCCTGAAATGCTAGAATTCTGGCAAGTGCACCTGATGATTTTTTTTAAACACTCCAATGGAAGAGAGTTAGATGAGAAGTTATCATACTTAAAAGTGAATAAACATATTGTCTTATACTGTAGTGTCAAAGTATTTACTTAAACAAAGCATGCATTTGTTACTGTGTGTGTTGTTTTTGGACAATGCGTGCTTATCAACAAAAAAATGGTGGTGTTAATCACAATAATGACCTGAGATTAATCATGATTTAACAAGTTTAAAATACTATTATTAACATAGAAATGCATCCGAAACTGGTCCGAGGAATCAGAGGGTTTTTCTACTTTATATTTTCATCTATCATACATTTCGACAATTTCTGGATTATTTACATGAAATCTGCCAATTTTCCCAAGTGTAGCTAAATCATCGACAAACCCGAGCAGTGATCACCTTCTGTGTGATGTGTGCTACACAGGACATATAGTATTATCTCTGCCGCTATCATACTGCGAGCATCCTCTGTTCCTACAGTGGTGTCCCTGTCTGCTATCTCACACTCCTGAAAACTTCTAGAAACTGGATCATGGTTCAACAAAATGCCTTTCCTCTGTTTCCATTACGCTTAAAGAACGAGAGCAGAACATTTGTTAAGGATCAGGTGTGCCGTTACACTTGTACCAGGTTGTACGCTTTCTTTGTCTTTTCACTGCCATGCAATTCATGACAAACATCCACGCTGGAATTATCGGAGGAAGTTGAGTTCACACTTGGTAATGTGATTAATTTGCGATAACCCTTCCAGGTGAATAGTTTGAGATAACGCGTTAGCGTTTACAGGCCGTAGTAAAAATATGATACATTAATCAAAGACTTAAAAGTATTGGTCGTTTGTCATTTTAATATGGTTTGATTTCCCTTTGTTGACCACGCTAACCTGTGGCTGTTCCCCCCCCCAGGTGCCCAAGGAGTGCGAGAGGAGCCCCAGTTTGTGACGTCACGTGCAGGAGAGAACGTCATCCTGGGATGCGACGTGTCCCACCCCCTGAACGGCCAGCCCTACGTGGTGGAATGGTTCAAGTATGGAATGCCCATCCCCTTCTTCATCAACTTTCGCTTCTACCCTCCTCATGTGGACCCGGAATACGCCGGTAAGATGGTGAAGGCAGTTGCATCAAAACTGCAATCGGTGGCTTGATATGAAAAAACACTGCCACTTATTTGACAGTGATTTATTGAATCTGCCCCGCCAGATAATAATGTGTTTTGCTTGTTGGTACTTCACTGAGGTGTTTATGCTGAATGATGGATGTGCAGAGGTTTCTATTTACATTGATTTGCTCAACTTAAAACTCAGTTGTATCTCCTTGACCAAATGGCAGGATTTAGGGATGTTTGAATCTAATTGTAGTCCAGCATTCAATTTACAAGTGTGTGATGTGGTAACTGCAGCAGTGGGAAAAGTAATCAGATCTTGTTCTTAAGTAAAAGTAGAAGTACCAGACTGTAGGAATACTCTGTTACAGTAAAAGTCCTGAATTTAAAATGTTACTCAAGTAAAAGTAGAAAAGTATTAGCATCGAAATATACTTAAGTACCAAAAGTAAAAGTAGTCGTTGTGCAGATTGGTTCATTTCAGAATAATATATATGATATGTTTTATAATGATTGATCATTAAAGTGTGATCAAAGCTGGTAAAGGTGCAGCTAGTTTGAATGACTTTGTATACTGCAGGGCAGCTTGTGAATTTACTCCAGGTGGAACTAAAGTCTGATTTAAGACTTGATTATATTTCACATCAAGTAACTAAAGGTACTAAATAAATGTAGTGAAGTACAAAGTAACCAAAAATGGAAATACTCAAAATACCTCCAAATGATTACTTAGTTACTTTACACCACTGGGTAACAGTGCACATGAAGGCCTTTTCTGTGAAATGGAGACAGGAACTTATTAGCATATTCATAGCTTCTGTTTTTAGCTGGGACTAGCAGCTATATAGCTCTCTTTTGCCGCGTTTCCACTATACGGCCTCGCTCGGCCCCGCTCGGTATGGCTGGGCCGCGATTGGCCTCGTTAGGACCAGCTCACTTTATGGCGCGTTTCCATTACAGTTTAGGAACTGGGGTAGTATCTATAGTAACGCAGTATAGGCGGAGCGACGCTGCTTAAAACTGCCGTGACGTCATCTTCAATGCGACACAACAATGGAGGATGTGAAGATGTGAAAGCGATCGTTTGCTTGTTTTTTGCTGTGTGGTTTATTATCACAAGAAATAGACAAGAGTTGTTTCGAAAGAGGCGACGTATAGAAGAAGCTGACGCGAGAGTTCGGGCAGTCCTCCTACGCCGCAGAGACTACAGGACGACTCGAATCACTACTAACTACGATGCTACTTGGTAAGCTAACGTTCGCTAACTAGCAATGTGTTTAGGCTCACGCTCCCTATACGACCAAAGTATTTCAAGTATTTAATTAATTGTAGCTACCACTTTTACGTATTAAAATATGTATGCTTTTGTTTGTGTATTTCAGAAGTTACCGACCGAGCTACCGAGTGGTGGAATGTGATTGTTCCATCTTTCACACACAAAGTGGGTGGAGAACTTCAGGATGCCTGAGGAAAACCTACGTTCATTACATGAATTCAAAAGAGGGCATTATGAACAGAAAACAGCGAAGTTGTCATTCAGGAATTAAGGTGTTTAAAAATGTGTAAAACTGATGTGTTTTTTCATGTTTGCAAAATGTAATACATGTTTATTCAGTGATAAAAGCAATAAATACTGAGGACATTGTGAGAAAGCGACATTATTGTATAATATATGTTAAAAAACCGGAATGTTTTGCTCGTTATAAGTTAGTCAACATTACATTACATGTTACTTGGGTCTGATGCGCACCTGAATACCTAGAATGTATAATGTAATACCTAAATATTCATTGTATTGAACATAAATACATCTTTTCTTTTTCACATACATGTGTTTGTCAAATTATTTAAACCAAAAAAATGTTATCAGAATTGACTATTTAGTAAATATTTGAATTTCAAGCACCAGTACTGCCCCCATAATAATAATAATCTAATAAATGAAGCAAATATCAAAGCAAACTATAAACATAAATACAAAAGTGTAAAACACAACAGAACTATATTCATAAATGCAAGTGTAAAAAATTGTTAACATGGATGGAGGCTAAAGTATCCACAGCATAAAATAATATGATTATGATGGTTTGTCTGAAAGACACAGCCTCAAGGTTCAAGGTTTTTTATTTTGTCATACGAACATAGCTAGTGTAGTTATGACAATGAACATCTTAGGTCACAGGCTCCTCCAACAGTGCAACACAATAACCCAGATCAACAGAAATATAGTGCAAGTAAATATTAAGCGCTGTGCACCGCTCTCTTTGTATAGGTGTTTTATTTTGTTCTCTTCTCTTTGAAATATATAAGCAATGTGTTTGAGTCTAGCACAACGAGGGTATTACAATTGAGTAATTTTTACTACATGTATTTATCATGTATTCTTAATACCATTATGTAATGTTATGTTTTAGAGGAGGACCTCAAGCTAGCAAACTCAATTTCAAACAGTATGCAGAGTTGTCCTGCTAAAGAGTTAAAATGTATTATTTAACCAAGTATTTATTCTCTTATTTGCTTTAATTGCAACAGATGATAAAGGTTTCACTGTGATAAATATTCTCTTAAATCCATAAACCCCTGTACAGTGCTTTGTGGACGATGGTGTTTATGATATTTCTGACTGCAGAGGGACGCCTAGATGATGCCATCTTTCTGTGTGATCGCTGGTGGGTGCAATTATTTATCAACAAGCAATAAGATAAGACATGGCATTGATTCTGCTGGGCCAGTTGCCGTTCCTGCAGGGCCAGATCCTCTCCTCCTCGGTTTGTGCTGTTGATGCAGAGGACGTTGTTCGGAACTGTTCCTCCTCGCTAGTCCCAATGTAATCATCTAGAACAGAAACATGACTTGTAAATTCCACAAACTACTGCAGCACAATACTATAAATAGCAACAACAACTATAGAAAAGACAAACTGAACGTAAACAATGGCACATATGGTGTTAGCAAACAATAGCTCTCGCTAATGCTATCTGCCTAGCTAGCCTTCGGGGCTCCATAAAATCATGGGTTGTCGAACATAAATGTAAGGATAAAATAGACTTATTTGTTAGAAGTGAGCTTTAGAACAGATAGGGACACAAAGCTTTCAAGCAAATAACAGAACGTTAGCAAAAACGTACCATGCAGACTCCAGTAACGCCAGTGTCTGTGTAGAGACCTCCTGAAAGACTTTGATATTGCGAGTTGTCCCGTCGAGCACCCGCTGGACCTTATCATCTGCAATATAATGGACGTCGTCACTTCCTCGACCGACCATGGTGTGCTTTTCTTTGCCATTGTTGTAGCTCCTCTGTTAACAAAAATGCTGTTTGTAAAAATGGATTATCTAGCGCGCAGATTGTGACGATTCTCTCCGACCAATCAGCAGCCGAGAGCGTTGACGTCACAAACTCAGCCTCGTTGTCTCTGGCCCTGGCCCCACGATTTTATGAGGCCAGAAAAACTGTGAATTAGGACCCGCCGGCCGGTACTAGGCCAAGTGGAAACGCAACCACAAACGGGCTGCTGACGTCACAGCCCTCTTAAACCGGGCTGCGGGCTGTAGTGGAAACGCGCCATTTGTTGGTCAGTCCTCAAACATGTCCCCTTCTTATGGAGGCCACAGTTTCCACCATGGCACTGATGATTTGCATAAAGGCAAAGTGTTTGGGAGGTTGTGTGTGAATGCCTAGAAGAAATAATTATGATATTTATTAGTTATTATCATACATACTTAATATTCAAAGCATTGTATTTGTATATTTTTTGCCCAGAGGGAATTTTTAAATATGTCTTTATTTTTTTTAAAGTATTAACGCTGTGTGCTCGTGGCAATTATTAATTAATTACTTGTTAAATGCTAATTGTGTCAACAGAACACAAGTCTCTTTTTTTCTGTAATACATTAATATTTGTTCATAATTCATAGTGGATCTGTTCTGGTTACATATATTATTATGCTTTTGAACTTGACGGAGCAACAAAGTCTTTGTTAACGTTTTCAAAGAATGTGGTTGATGTCTAATTCATTGTTCCCCCTCATTCTCCTGCTTCTCCTCCTCTTCTAGGGTGAGGGAAGTCAAACATCCATCAGTCCTCTGCCTCTTTGTACAGCTCTATATAAATCATTTTTTCTGTTAGTAAACATCAAAAGCTTAGGCTGCCTAGCACATTTTGGGGTTGTTTTTTAAAACAGTTTGCGTTTGAATAGTCTTTGTATAATATTTTTCTCTCTAAAAGGTTCCTAACAGAGTCAAGTGACCCAGAAGTTTCAAATTGTCAGCCATGATAACAGCTGTTTGAATTCTCTACATGAAAGGAAGGAGCTTAAATGGTTCCTTTATAAACTCCTTTAGCTTAGTTCACATTTGACATTCCTTCATGGAAAGACTGGAGATACTGCTGTCCCACAATTCCTTGCGGCCCCAACATTTAAGGTGACACACCATTAGGCCGTTCACAGAAACGACCGATCATGACCGAGAAATACAGATATGTCAATTATTCAGCATTTTCCATCTTGTGCCATATCTTGCCAAAGTGCTTATATGTTTTGAACTTTCAAAACTTAAAGGGGACCTATCATGCAAAATGCACTTTTGTACGTCTTTTATACATGAATATGTGTCCCCGGTGTTCCAGGGAACTCACCAAGTGTCAGAAAACACAACCCTCTCTATTTTCCTCCATACCCAAATCTCTAAAAAAGGGGCTGCAACGGATCTGATAAAAACTGATCCAGATTTGAACACTGTCCTGACGTCAGGACAGTGGCGCTACGGCTATTGGGCCAACTCCACCAATCAGGAGGAGACAGCCACAGCCATTGCCGTTCGAAAGCGCTGGAGACGCTGTAGTACATATGCCAGGCCAGTAGATGGTGCTGTTCTCACATAATCTGCCCTTGCAAAAACAGAGCTAGAAATTGTCAAATAGAGCGAAATGAGGCATGGCTAAAATGCATGATCTGTTTGGTATTTTGAAAAAAAAAAAGTATAAATATGCCTTA